TGTTGAATGGAATGTGGAGAATTAAGATCCATCAGTTTTTGTTTCAGGAGCAAATACTATTGATATTGCAGGAGATTATACTAAATAATATAAACTTAGTATTTTTTCGCTTAAATAAGTTTAAGCTAAAATTAGTGTTATTTTTAAAAATGAAAAAACATTCGAATTTGTTCACTTTAAAATTGTATTTTTTTTTATAAATTAATATTTATTTATATTTATTTTAAAGAATTTAAACGTTTAAGCACCTGATATTATCTAGAAAATAGAAATGTCAGCTATAATAAGAGAAACAACAAATAAATTTATAACAATTACAAATCCATTAAATATTCCAGTAGAAATAAAAAAACAAATGATCACGACAGATAACGACAATATATCTTTTAATCCTTCCGAATTTACAATATAAGCTAATTCTGTAAAAAAAAAAAAAAAAAATTTTATTAAAATATAAAAAGGAATTTGGCTTTGAAGTAATCTATAGACCCTTGCTAGTTAAAGAAGAGCATTGTAAAGTTAATTTAAATTCTCCTGAATTAGGAACTTTTCTTTATATTTTGCATTTAAAAGGTTTAGCATAACAAACTATATAAAGAAATATGACTATGAAAGCACCATTAGGTTCGGATGTTGTTTAGAACTTTAAATTTTTTAACTTTTGTAAAAAATAAACGACATATTCCTGTAGAATTGAAAAAATTGGAGGCGTAAAAGCATAAGCTCCAGTAGTTGATGCTAAAGGAAAAGGAGGAAATTTGCCTGCTTAATAACTAGATTTTATAGTAGAATAACCAAACATTATAGCTCCTCCTGCTGATACTATGGAAGGGAATGAAATTAATGTAAGCGTGAAATTCGAGCCTTCTTTTCTAGGAGAGTCTAAAGGTATCCTTGTTATAAGTAGCCCTGATGGAGGTGAATATAATTGTATGCTAAATGGAATATCATCAGCTCCTTAACCAAAAGGACCTTATAAAATTGGAGGAGCTAAATCTGCTCCTATTGAATTTAGAAACTCTTTCTTTGAAACATGTGATTTTATTGTAAGAATTGATAATCCTAGTTTTACTACTAATTTAAAAAATCCTGTTAAAATTGATGTAAAATAAAATAATTTATATTATTATTTTAAAAAATATTTTTTATATTAGGGTAAAAAAGTAGTATCCATTTAGGTTGCTTATAAATAAGTTAGTGATACTTCTAATAATGGAAGATTACTTATTTAAGTTGATAAATATGATTATCCACCTTGGGTTTTTTATTTGCAGGGAGAATGATATTTTTTATTTTTTTAATTTTATTATATAAGAATATATTTCATTCTTTATTATTTTTAAAAATATCATAAATATATATTTATATATATATGAACTTCATAAACATTTGTTTTTTAATATTTTTATTAATGTTTTTATTTAATTAGAAATAAATACATTATATTTTTTATTTATTAATTAAAAAGTACAAAACCAATAAAAAATAATAAAAAAATGGTAAAATATTATATATATATATTTTGACTATTTAAAAAAAGAGTTTAGCAATTGAAGGATATGTTAATGCATTAAGAGATGTTTTAGAAGTATGTTTGTGCTTATAAGATTTTCCAAGTGAGATTGTCGAAAAACATAATAAACCTGAAGTTGAATTATATGGATATAGCTAAAAAACCAAAACCTAGTTCTTCACCCTATATATTTAGCAAGAAGTGATAAGGAAAATGCTTAATAGAACCATCTGTAAATTCTTGCAGAGTATTTTTTTAAAAAATTTTTTTTTAATATTTTTATTAATTCAAAATAAGATTTCTTTTTAACTTAAAAAAAATGATGATTTAGATAATCTAATAGCATCCAGATTTTCTAAATACATAAGTGTGAGGGCTGATTAATTTTAAATTTTAAGAAGAAAAGCAATTATTGTAAATAAAAATTTAATAAATTTATTCATATATTAAATAATTTTAAAGGGATATGACATTAGCTTTTTAATTACTAATGAACATCTTGAGAAATATAAAAAAAAAGAACTTATAGAATATATATGTGATTTTGTAACTAATGCAGAAAAAGATTTAAGTGATATTAAATTAAATATTATTTAATAAGCAAGAAAATCAACTACTTTTTATGCAAATGCTATATCTAATAATAATTGAAGAATATTTATTAATATATATTTATTAATATAATTAATTATAATTAAAGAAATTAAAATTATTTAATATTTATTAAAAATTTTTTTATATATAAAAATATATTTTATTAATATAAAATTAATTTAATTTTTATTCAAATATTCTTAATACTTTAAATTGTAAAAGATTTTTCTTATTTATTTAAATATTATCATATTTGTTTTCTAAATTTATGTTTTAGTTAAATGTTTCATTGAATTTATATTAGTTTTTTTTTAAATCTTTACATAATTTATACCTTTATTTATACTTATATTCTTTATTTTCTTTAAAATCAAATTTATATTCCTATTTACTGCCATAATTAATACTTGTAATTGAATTAAATGGATTGTTGCTTTATAAATTAAATAAATTATTAGAAATTTATGGTTAAGAAGCTATAACAAAAGAATTTTTTTGAGAAAAAAAATTCAAATTATTATTATTATCAATATAATTGGACTTTAAATTATTTTTATTAAGAATTTTATCAAAATAATTAAACTTTATTTTTTATGTTATTTTTGTTAAATCTTATGTTTTTATATTCGAAAGTTATGTTATATCTAGTCCTTATAATTTTAAATTATCTAATGTTTAAAAAATTGATTTATTTTGAGTATTAATCATAAGATTAAATGATTATGCACGGTTTTTATTCTTGCATTTTTTTAAATATATTTAATTTAAAATGGGAAGTTTATTTATATTATATTTATTTTTATCATTAAAAATAATGTTTGAACATTGTGAACTTTAAATATAACGATTAGTTTAAAAAGGAATACTATTATTATTATAATTATTATTATTATTATTATTATTATTATTATTAGTTATTATTGTTATTATTATTATTGTTATTATTGTTATTGTTGTATGTAAATGATTATGTTATTAAATCTAATTTTTATGTTGTTTCTTATTACTAAACATTCTATCTTTTTTATTAAATAAAATCATTATTTAAAATCATTTGTTTTCTATATTTTTCCCAATCAATTTTTGATTGTATTTCATTTTTGAAATGTGTAATATAATCATTTACTTTTAAAAAGTTGAACAATTTCTTAAATTTAATAAGAAATTTATAAAATATATATATATATATATATATATATATATATTTATTTATATATATGTATATTTTAATATACTTTTTTTTCTATAGAATAAACAATTGCCTTCTAAGAAACACATTTAGCTTATGTTTCTCTTAAATTTTTTTCATTCATAATTTCATAAGATCCGAAATGATTAAAAGAACTTATTAAATATAGTCTTATTCTTTTCTTTATTGGTATTTTTTTTACTAATTCCCCAGCATTTTCTTTATTCTAGTTACCTTCTATATATTCTATTAATTAACTAATTTCTATTTCTCCTTCTTTAATAAAATAAAATTTATTACTTTTCTCTTTTTCATAATAAATTATATTATTATTCTGATATGTTTCTTATTTCATTTATTAAAACAAGCTTAATAATTTCTAAGCTGGTATAATTTTGAAAAATGAATAGCTCTACAAAAATTCTACTGAGTCTTCTATTATTTTTGTTGAATATTAACCTATTATATTTTCAAAACCTTTATTACTCAAACCAATAAAATGAGTATTTTCCGCACAAATAACTGTTGCTGTTCTTAATATATTGAATAAATAAATATTTTAAATATAAAATTTATACCTTTTTTCGCCTGTTAAAAGGGAGAATTCACCAAAAGAGTCTCCTTATTTTAAAGTTCTCACAATATCATATTAAGGATATAATTAATTAATTAATTAAATGTTTAAATCTTCTATAGATTCTTGAATTATTGATAATCTTTTATTTAAATCCCAAGTAAACTATCTTTTTAATTACTAAACATTAATTTCTTAATTATTAAAAGATGAAAGATCATCAATATTATTTATTTTGGGAATTTAATTATTTATATTTATATTATTTTAACTATCTTTAATATTAATTAAATCTTATTCTTCAAATTCTTCCAAACTAGTTTTTTCATTTTATTTATTAAATTTATCATTTGGAATCATACAATAAACACTTCCTTTTAGAATTACATAAAACATATTCCCCTTGTCACCTTATTTTTTAAAAAAATAAAATAAATATATGTAATCTTATGAAATTTTGTTACCATAATTAAATACTATTTCATTTTTTTTGAAAAAAAAGTGGTTTAATTTCATTATTATTTTACTTGAACATGTTTAATGTATATCAGGAAGGTCTTTAAAAATACTTAAGCCTTTTATTATTTTTTGTAAAAATTCGATTTCCATTTAGTTCTTTTATACTTTTCTCATTACATAGACTGCCAACTTTTATAAAAAAATAAAAATATAAAACAATGATAAATATAAAATAGTTTATTTTTAATTTAATTACATTACTTATTTCTTCCTGTGTTAAGTCCACATTATTTCTTTTTAATATTTCTAATAACATAATATCTTTCTCATTTTATAACTTTTAATTCATATGTATGTAATCACTAGCTAAAGATCCTCTATCCATATAATTTTTGGTTAAAAGTGCATAGTCTTTAGTTTTTTATCTAAAGTTAGATACTTTGCTGGGTGATATGTTAATTATATTATTAGTATTATTCATTTTCGTTTATTCACTATTTTTTTTCTAGAAAAAGTTAATATTTGTTTTTGTTAATTATAATGATAATTGCTCTTAACATACAATTTTTTTAATTTTGTTTTCATTTTAATTGATATTAATTGCAATACTTTAATCTTTATCCATTTGCTTAACTTATATATAATATATTTAATCTTTTTTTTTTTTTTTTTTATAAAGTAATTGTTTTTTTTTAAAAAAATAAATAATTATATATTAATTAAAAATAGATTATTATAAAATTATTTATTTTAAATATGTTAATGATATTAATATATATCGATTTTTAATGTAACAATAAATAATAAATTAAATAGATAAAATAATTTTTTATCACATATCTTTGAATAATAATTCTTTAATCAAAATGTTAAATGACAATATTTTAGCCTCTAAAAATATTCAATTAGATCATTTTTTATGAAAATATGGCAGAATAATTCTATGAATGTAAAATTAATATCAAATATGTTTTTATTAAATGTCTAAACAAATTCTATTTTTTTATTTTCAAGAGCGATAGCTTTTTGATTATTAAAATGAAAAAATATAAATTTCTTTATAAAATTAATGATAAATCATAATATTATATTATTAAATTAATTTATATAAACCCTAAAGAAAGTTCACTTTTATTATAAATATTATAAAATAATAAATAATTCAGAAAACCTAATATATTAAAAATTCCCTAATCTTTTTTTATAGTTGCTTTTATTATATAAAAGCGTACTAGAATTATAGATAGTTATTAATATCTATTTTTATCTTAATCAAAGAGAACATAGATAAAATATATAAAATTTAAAAATATCAAGTTAAACTAAACTAAATATTTTTTTTTTTTTCAGTAATGGTCAGTTAATAAAAAAGTATTTGATTAGCGGACAAAAACAACTTTTCTCTATTCACTTACTCCGAAAAAAATAAAAATATTGATATTATATTAAATAAATTTAATGTATAATTGAATTATATTAATTTTTATTTATATATATATAAATATATTTTATTATATTATATTTAATAACAATACATTTTAATAATATAATTTAATATATATATTATTAATCAAATATTATTACTTCAATATTATATTTAAAAATTTTATATAAATTTTTTAAAAAATTTATAAAAATTCTCAAAAAAAAAAAAATGAGAGGTTTCTTGTCTTTTCTTTCCGTTTATTTTTATTTTTAACTATTTCAATACAAACTGTTAAACAGTTGTTTCATAAAAAATAAAATTTTAAAAAAGCAGAACCCGATAATTTTTTTTACAAAAAATTATGATAAAAATGTATAATTAAAATTCTATAAAAATGATATGTGGAATACCATAAAAAAGTTAATTTTTTATTCTCTATAAAAACGCATATTAAAATAAAAAAAAAAACCTTATAATATATAAATGTAAAAAAAAAAAAATATGAATTATAAACATAATAATAAAAAGAAAATTATTTGAAAAATAAAAAGAATAAATATATAATAAAAAATAATATTTCAATAATAATATTATTAAAATTCCAGAAATCACATTTTTATTTTATTAATATATTTAGGATTTTCGCCAATATTTATTTAATTAACATACCATATTTTTAATGTAAATACACGCAATAAAATAATTAATTTTTTCTTTTTTTAATTATTTAAATTATTACAAACCAAATTTAATCAATGAATATATATTTTTTTTTGATGAATTAGACAAAAAAACAAAAACTGGTAAGATTATAATTGACCAAAATAAAAAAAAAAAATTCCAGGATCTGATACTATAGTTTTTTTTATTTTCGAAACTGGGATAATATTAAATACTTATTAATTTAAAATTTTTTAGTATTTATTATAAAAATATAAAATTAAAACATTTAATAATTTAATAATTAATTTTATTTATATTTATATTTGAAACAAAAATATACGT